GTGAGCCTTAGTACTGGATCTTCAGCCTCAGTCCTGGGCCTCAGTCCTGGATCTACAACCTCAGTCCTGGGCCTCAGTCCTGGATCTACAACCTCAGTCCTGGATCTATAGCCTCAGTCCGGGATCTACAGCCTTAGTCCTGGACCTCAGTCCTGGACCTCAGTCCTAGATCTACAGCCTCAGTCCTGGGCCTCAGTCCTGATCTACAGGCTCAGTCCTATAGATCTGCAGCCTCAGTCCTGGATCTACAGTCTCAGTCCTGGATCTACAGCCTTAGTCCCGGGCCTCAGTCCTGGATCTACAGCCTCAGTCCTAGATCTACAGCCTCAGTCCTGGATCTACAGCCTCAGTCCTGGGCCTCAATCCTGGATCTACAGCCTCAGTCCTAGATCTACAGCCTCAGTCCTGGGCCTCAGTCCTGGATCTACAGCCTCAGTCCTAGATCTACAGCCTCAGTCCTGGATCTACAGCCTCAGTCCTGGATCTACAGCCTCAGTCCTTGGGTCTACAGCCTGTTCGTCCATGGGAGCAGATCCCTCTCTCTTAACGTTGGCCTATAATGAATAGAGTTGCCGTTTTGTGGTAATATTTCTCAGATCTGCATATTTGCATATTTCGGGTAAGAAAAAGAGGAGCTTACGGTAAAAGTCACGGTGATAAAGGAAGTGTGATTTGTACGTGTTTTGAGCTTCACAGTCTGTGTTTGTTGCCCTGGTCACTGTGGGTTCAACACCAACACACAGCTGATGTTTGCTTTTGTTTCATGAGGTAAACATACATTAAAACAGTGTACTCATCATTATAAGCCCATTTCCAGACTGTATTTTCTGAAGCCCTAAGTGTTAATATCCTCAGCAGTGAATAATAGACAAATGCCCCAGTGCTAGTGTTTTTATGTCACTTATGTCACTGAGAAATACCAGACCACTCAAATCAAATCATTGTTTTATGTAACGCCTGAAATCACAAAAACAGTCGTCTTGAGGAGTGTCACAGCCGACTCGTCCATTGGTCAGGGGAGTCCAGGGTTTCAAGCTGGGGACTCATACCCCATCTTAACAGTGCAGTATTTAAAGCTTAACTGTGGCTCCTTTGTGTTTGTTATTATTGTATATCCTGTTCCTCTCTCCTCTTTTCTGGTCTCTCTCTTCGGTCTCTCTCTAGTCCCTCTCTTATGTTTCTCTCCAGTCTCTCTCTGGTCTGTTTCTGGTCTTTCTAATCTGATATTGGTGAATTCACAACTTTGTAAAGGTCCAGGGAGTCCAGGGTTTCAGACTGAGGACTTGTACTTCAGCTTAACAGTGTATAAAGCTGTACAACAGAAAGAGTCTTGTTTAACTTACATATCACACCACGTGTCTTAATCTCATTAGAAAACATTTGTCCTTTTACACATACTGAGAGCTGATTGGCTGAGTGAGGGCGGTCCAGAAACAGCTGATCTAAAGATGAGACAGATGTACACTACGTGAAAACTAGTAATCACCAAACTCCGTTGTGGTTGTTCTTTTCCATTTCCTGTGTTCGTACTACGTCTCTCTAGACTCTCTCTCTCTCTCTCTCTCTCTAAGTAAAATGAGTACATAATCTTTATTTAAAGGTATACAGGAGGATTTTCTACTTCTGGGTGGATCATCAAGACTATTGGTCCTCCTAATTGTCAATCATTCTGGTGATACGAGCGTCAAATAAGACCAGACAGTTTTGTTCAAAAAAGTGGAGAGGGCGGTTCTTTCCTAAAATTTGAGAAAATCCTCCTATAAACCTTTAAGATAAAATAAGCTAGACTTTATTGATCTCACAAAGGAGAAATGTATATATTTTATAAAGCGCCTTTCACAGACCAGGGTCACAAAGCACTTCGGTCACCATACATACAGGAGGCGCATGGCAGACCTATGTTTTTAGTGGTAGGAAACCGGAATTAAAACATCTGGAACAACTTCCTGAATATGTAAGACAGGCTTCTTATCTGAAAATGTTTAAATCCAAGTTAAAAACAGCTGTTTAACTTGCATACAACTGAGAGATTTTATTTTTTTTATCTTTCTTTTTAATGCACTGTGATTATTAATGATTTTAATCCCTTGTGTTTTCTATCTTGTTTTGATCAGCACTTTGAGTTGGCTTGCGTATGACTTGTGCTATAAAAATAAACGTGCCTTACCATGTGGAGAACTGTGATTTAGAGCTGCACACCAACCCAGTGAACAAGAGCGAGAAACTAGTGTCATGGTTTTTCATTTCGTTGAAGTTCGTACATGAGAAAAAGCACTTAGTCACTCTGCACCTCTGCTGGCTGCTGCTGGGCGCCTGCCTCTGCTCTGGGACTGAGGTTGGGGCCAGTTGGAGCCACGTGCGTGTGTAGGTGCGTGCACGCGCGTTGGGGATTCCCCGCAGCCAAACAGCCTCGTCTTTCACATGTCTGCGCCTCTGCTCTGAGCGCTTCAGTCTCACTGCTCTCTGCACAGACACACACTCACACACACACCGGATATCAGGGCTGGAGCCTCCTCAAAACAACGCACTGCTATCACGCCTCATGCCTGCGCGTTTGGACGATACAAGCTGCGGTGAATGGCATGAGCGCCTGGGATAAAGCTCCTCCGAGGTGCCGCCACCGTCCAAGCCGCCTGTAAAAGCTCTCGCACCCGGGCTCGCTGTCACCATGAGCACCACCGGAGGCAGGAAAAAGCTGGACTCCCTGGACGAGAGCCGCATGGACTCGGGCATAGACTCTTTCAGATCCATGTACAAGTCGGAGGAAGGTAGAGACGTGAGCTCGGAGTTCGGCGCGTCTCTGGACAAGTGCGTGTCCGCGGACGAGCGCCTGGACTCTGCGTACGAATCCTCGTCCATCAGCGTGGACAGCCTGGGGTGCAGGGTTCAGGACTGCACCCTGTCTGCAGGACCCTCCATTTCTGCAGAGGAGACAGACTCGCCGCAGGAGGAGGAGAACCCGCTCACGGCCTTCACAGAGGATGGAGACACGTACGTTCCTTATCACAAATACACAAAAAGATGTGTATAAAGTTTGTAGAATATTATGTAGAGTCGCCTTTTCTGACCAGCAAACTATATAGTACAGACTTGTGCAGCTATTTCAAATGTGCATTCAGATTTTTGTCTGGAAAATGTGTCCTTGATGTTGTTTTACGTTTTCTAATTTTCTAAGTCAAAGTTAGAGAGCTACCAACATCCTGTGATCTGACCTTGTTTGGTCCCTTCACACTCTGGCTCTAGTCTACTATCATCTACATTCTCTCTTTTTCATAGAATTGGATCTTCACATTTCTACAACCCGGGTTTCATTCATTCATGTGGTATGAGTTTGATGATCCCTGTTGAGCCACACTGAGCTGCTTTGACATAGAGGTTGATGTAATTTAAATATAGACTTGCTCATTTCAACCCAGAAAGGCATAGACTTTTAGACACCTGTTAAATAAAACAATTGGACTCATTTGTAATAAGCCAGCCGTATTTCTGTGTGAGCCTGGATCATGAGCAGTATCAGACTTGACAAAGCTGTATCCCAGGGCTCTAACCCAAACTTTTTAGTAAGAGGGCCACTTTTGTTTAACCAGACTTGTCCAGGGGCCGACAATAACAGACTGTTGAACTGTTTATTCTGGATTCAGGCTGTTCTGAGCTTTATGATATTGATAAATGTCCATACTGTTTCTCACCACAGCTATATTGAGACACAATCAGACACAAATACGACTTGATTCCAAAGGGTCTGGGCTTTGCCATGAGCTACATCATGCCTATATTGGCTGAGCTGAAATTGTGTTTATGATCTGCCTGTGGTATCCCTATTCACAACCAGAGAAAAGTGACGGCTATACACACATTTGAGCCTGTTGAGTTAGTGCATTATGGTTGATTCCTGATGTGTATATTTGATTTTAGAGCTCTCACTCTCTGCAGATCTGAAACTCAAGATGGGGACAGTCAAGTTGGCAGTCGCAGAGTCAGGGTCAGGAGTACGACACATTTAAGATGCAGTGTTCTAGTTCAAGTTGGGATATTGCTTGCTGATCATATTGTTCTGTCTATATACAGTGAACGGTGGCCTCTGTCATGTCAGTCTTGTTTGGGCTGGTTTAATATCTCTGGGTGTCGCACATGGTCATGTTAAAAAGCTCTGTAGCTTTGCACTCTGTCTGTTGTGCCCAGCATTTTTACTGCTGCCTCATTTCTTCAACATACATTTGTAAGACTATGTCTTTATGTGTGGAAATGTATGTAGTGACACAGCCACAAATATTGTAGCCCTGTGCTTCCCAAAGTGAGATCCACTGAATGTCCTCAGGGGTGCCCAAAGGACGCCAACAAGCAATTCACAACTATTTGATGTATTGCAGCATGAATCGAACTTTTTTACAAATCCAATATGCTGTACATATATAAATATATATATGTAGTATTTTTGTTAACTTCCAAGTATTAAAGGCCTATGTTGGTTGACGATTCTGGGTCACAATACTTGCTTGTGTCTGTAATTCCCCTGCTCACCATGTCCCTGTTTTCTTCAATATTCAGTCGATCATGACAATGCTGTGTTTTCTGCTTTTGCACATAGTAAATCCCCTGATGGTACAACATGTTCCCATTTCTTTATTACTGCCTAATGCAAGATTCTCATTGAGTGACCATGAATCACCCGAACCTGTTCCCTCTGCATGAGTTTATCTCTCTCCTTGTCCCCAGAAGGTTTTTAAGGGGATTTCAAAGGTACATGATATGTACTCTGAGCCATGGTTCAACTTTGGCCTGTGCTGTGAATGTGGATACAGCGCTTTTAGGCAGAAAACAGAAGTGAAAGAGATCTGCAAGGCTTGGACTTCCCCATGCAGCAGGAGGCACATGCTCGTACAAACTGCTCCTGTCAACAAACAAGTCCAGCGAGAAAGGCTTGAGGACGCGTTCATGTTTCAAAAGAAGCAGCCACAAGGAAGTACTACTGCCCTCTGAAAGTATGTATTGTATGTAACTGGTTGCACGCAGGGATTTCCACTTTTGTTGCAAAACAAAAGCCCTCTTTCCACCAGCCATACTGCACTATACTCTGCTCTACTCCACCTGGTAATGTTTCCATTACGCTTTAGTATTTGTTTATGTATCCTAGTGTCCTACCCACAACAAACCAGTATCCAGGGCAATTACTTGGTAACCATAGCTTCCAGCAGCACTATGTCAGTTAGAACTCTTTAGTACTAATATGGCCTGGATAGAACCAGGGCCAAGAGGGACCACAGGGCCGGAGGAAACACTCCCTATCTGGAAAGAGTAGAGTTGAATAGAGTAGAGTACTCTACTCTACTTTACTCTACTTTAGAGTAGGGCTGGTGGTAACGGGGCTAAAGATTGCAGTAATAGAAAAAAAGAATTCCCCATTTTCTAAAGCTGGGGTACCTAACCACCACGTCTGAACAAAATCAGACCACAACATGCTGGGTTTATCTTATTAGAAATCATTTTTTCTGTTGCATCTTTATAAGAAACAGCTCTGCGAGTCACAATTTGACACTGTGGGCTCAGAGCTGTCAACTTTATTCATATAGCACATTTACGAAAACACCAACTTGTTTTCTAACCTCACCTCACTGATCTGACAGGAGCCCAACGAGATAACAGTTCTGTGTTCTCTGAGACCAGAGAGACCAGAGAGACCAGAGAGACCAGAGAGACCAGAGAGAGACCAGAGAGAGACCAGAGAGAGACCAGAGAGAGACCAGAGAGAGACCAGAGAGAGACCAGAGAGAGACCAGAGAGAGACCAGAGAGAGACCAGAGAGAGACCAGAGGCAACAGGTCTGCAGGGGATACAGGGGATAAATCATATGAATAATTAAAAACAAACTTTATAGTTTGAAAGTAAGATTGACCAGCTTTAATTATATCACACAATTAAATTAATTGAAATGAATCTCCATAACATATAGAATTGATGTAGGAACCTCGTCTCTCAGAGTTCACCTGCGTTCATTCACTCTCTCACACCTCTTCCTCAGAACTGGTGACATTTACATATTACACAAGTGTTGATCACTCACTGTCAGAGTTTCCCCTCTGTTGTACAAGTACAACTAGTTAACTCAGAGTGAAGTGAATTAGTTGTCTAGTGTTTTGATCTGCCAGTAGTTGAGGCCTCTTGCCCTTGTGCTATCCTTGGCTCAAATTAACCTGCCAAAAAAGACTGAATTTTGATTATTTAACTTGACCAGCCCTGAGTCATTTAGACCCTAATTTAGGGTATTTTTCTTTTCCTTTTAATCATCTGTGGCAGGTCATTTTGACCCAAGGATAGCACAAGGGTTACCAACATGCAGTGTGTCAATGCGGCAAAGTGAGCGTGGTATTTATGAATGAGTCCATAACCATAAGATTACGACAGCACTTGTGAAATACAGCTTTTGATTGTTTTCACCATATATTTTCTACTTATTATTTCACATGAGATATTAAATTACTAGTCTAGTTGTCATTGTAATGGCCAAAAATAATGCGTATCATTTTGTCTTTATTTGGAACCAAAAATGAATTTGTCTTTCAATTCATTCTGCTCCTCAAAAGTGTGTTTTAAATACGCACAAAGGCTTCTCAGAGGAAGTGGTCTCAAGCGTTTGTCTTTTGTGGGAAGCGTGAAGTCCCACGCTGTCTGCATCTGTGAAACTATGCCCTTTTTCATCTGACGTAAGCTCACTCAGACTTCGATGTTTGTTTTTGCGTCAAACACGAAACAGCCGGACGTAGTGCTCGCTGCAATATCTTTGTGTTTTTGAGGTGTTTTTATCATCTGTGGCTTTTATACATCACTCTATCAGTGCATCTTTACAGCTATTGCTCAAACTGACTTCTCGTCACCACGAACTCTTCCGTCCGTTGTGTGTTTCTAATCTTTTGAGATGAATACCGAGGAAAAGAATGATGCAATATGTTCTGAAATATGCTCATGTCGGTTATGATTGCTCAATGTCAGAGTTTGTCAGTGTAGCTACAGATGTTGTGCAAATTTGTGAATTTCTTGTATCATTTTTTTCCCCTGTAGAATTTTGCACCTTGCCATCATCCACGAAGACGAACAGTTTGCTCAGCAGCTCATCGACTTCTTCCCCACGGAGGTGCTGGACATCCAGAACAACTTGTATCAGGTGAGAGCAGGTGAAGAGGTAGGAGGTTAGAGGATTTTATTGAACTTGCACACTAAGGCAAAAAGATATCACATCAATATGGTTGAGATATGAACATTATTAATATTATAATAATAAACAATCATCATAGATACAAGCGGGCCACATGAGTTTTTCAGATAGGATGAGGAGCTCGGAGTGGACCCGCTGCTCCCCTAGAGAAAGGGGGAGGAGGTCAGTCACACAGGATGAGCTTGGAGAAGAGCCACTGCTCCTCCACATGGAGAGTAGCTAGTTGAGGTGGGGTGCCTGGAGGGACTGTGTCTCTCAGTTGGCCCTTAGAACGCTTCAGGATTCCCCAGATGAGCTGGAGTAAGTGTGTGGAGAGGGAAGTCTGGGCATGTCTGCTCAGACTGCTGCTCCCGTGACCTGGATACAGATAAAGCGGAAGAAAATGAATGAATGAATTAACCCCGCCCGGGATCCTGCGTGTATGGCAGTCACAATAAACATACGCGTGTACGACTGCCCCGGAATGCGCCACGGCCATCCAACCACAAACCTTATTTCATGCTGTAGATTGACGGCTGAAGACGACCAATGACGAACATTGGAGGGCGGGGCTTGTAATGTATTTGTGTCAACTGCATCTAGAATGAAATTCTATTAACTTCCCCAAAGCCCTGGAGCAGATGTTTTTAACCTGTACTTCTAAAGAACAGCAGCAGCAGCAACAGCAGTAGTTCCTCTTTCCTCTCAGCTCTGGTCTGCCTGACCCTGATATTGACGCGATGGCTTGGAAACTCCCCTCCTCACCTCCAGCCGCCCTGAAATGTGTCCTGCTGCTGGTTATTCCTGTCCTTCCACATGACAGATGAGTAGGAAGCAGCGTACAGCATGTATCAGACTGAAGCAGCCCAAAGAATGCTTCAGTGCAGAGAAAGCGAAATAAAGTCTAAAATAAAACATTATTCTGTCATGCAACTGTATTCAATGTGCAGAGAGACTGGTTTGATGAGAGGCCACGCTGCTGTTTCTTTTTTACACTGCAGCTCGAGTCCCGTCTAGAACCAGGAAGTACCATCACATTTGTCCTGGTCTCAGGCCTCTGCACCAGCACTTCATGTGGCTCAGAGAATAGTCTTTAGAGTCTTTTGCTTGTGTTGAAACAAAACCAAAGTACATCTGTGACATGTAAGTGCCATATGAACCAACTCGGACTCTGAGGAGCACAGGGACTGGTTTTTTACAGAACAAAATTAACAGAATAACAGTTTTGACAAGAACAACATTTATATAATTCAGGCATTTACTGCCTGTTCAGTTTTTTGCGGTGTGACAGCTCGGAGGGTTGTGTGTCCATGAGGCTTCATTTACCTAGCATAGCATAGGTTAGCATCATCTACACAGTTTTACACAGTCTCTGAGGTAAAGGTGTTCCAACCGAATAAGTTCTTTGGATAAACGTTTAAGAGGTTATTTACAATCTTGCAGTATCACCTAGTGAGACATTGTGAGTTCCCGCCTCTGCCAGAACTTCTCAGCAAGATCTTTTTTCTGATGGGGTAATGTGACCATAACCTGTCGGGCAACTCTGTACGGAAATGTCGAAGCATGCAGATCCAGTAAGAAGAGAAAGAAGTCGGTGGTGGAGCCGACGGTGGTGGACCACAAACCTGTGGGAGGAGTATTCTAATGTTTCAGGAACCCCAGATCATGTGTGCAAAGAATTAGATGAATGCATTGATCTTTGGGATGAGCAGAAGCAGGCGTGTCGTAGTGGCCACTCTCTCAGATTATTAAACTTGGATGGGAGTAAATATTTAGAGCAGATATGCAATATGTCAGAAGCATTTTGAAACAATTTGATAAAGAATGTTGGCAGTAATAAAGCATAGACTGTAGAAGAAGTAGAAATCAGGAGCTAATAAGACGCAGTTAGCAACAACCTAGCAACCATACAGCCAATCAGGACCAGTGCTGGTCCGTTACAGATTTCTAGCTAAAGTCAAATTTGGGATCAGAAGGCGCCTGATTGGTCAGGGCTCATGACTGACATTATCACAATGAAAACCATCAGGATCTTACAGAAGTTTAAACCACAGAAGCTCATTCCCTCAATATGTTGAAGTTTGGAGGAATAATCTAATTACAAAGAGGATAAAAAAAAAATGATTTGACCAAAATTATGCTTAATTATGTATTTTAAGCCCAGAATGGTGAGCGTAAAGCAAACTGTTACTGAGCTACTTTCACATAGGAGCCAGTGAGTTGGAGCAAAACTTCATCCATGAGCACTTCTCTATAGGCTTCATTGAGCTAGGGTTAGGGTTAGCATTGTCTGTCTATAGTGACATAAAGAATTTGAAGCGTAAATAAAATAGATAAAAGTAAGATAGTAGTAATTGTATGCATGCCTTATATCTATGTCCAACAGGCCAGGGATGGGCAATTTTTTTCTTCCAGGGGCCACATTGGGATACCGCCCTTTTGTGGAATGGGCAAAAACCCAATTTCAGGTGTTTATTTATTTAACAAACATAAATAAAAAATAAAGAAGCACTGTTTTCTTTGTGTCTTGTGATATTTTATGCAAAGCAAATTATTCCTAATAACCATGAACGAGAACAGAGTAAATGTATAACGTACCATGGTAGCACATAATAAGTTACAAGCCTTCAATGAATATTGACTTCTGATTCATTTAAATAGGCAACAGACCGGATTGAGGTCAACAGCTGTGAAGGGTCTAGAGTCCGCACAGAAATGTGAGTTGGGCCGGAAATGACCCCCGGACCGCATTTTGCCCAGGTCTGCAATAGACATTTACCACCCACCCATTTCCTCAAAGTTTCAGGTTAAAACTGGACTCAACTGGGGAAATGGGTAGAGTCTGGTGTGCTTCAGTTCAGATTGGAACTAAAACCTGCAGCCACAGCGGCCCTTTGAGGACCGGTTTGACACCTGTGCTTTAGGCAGAGTTTACTGATCCTACAGTATCAGTTGATGTGACTTTGTGAGTTTCTTTGTCTTGAGGATTCATCCACCTCTGCATGTGTGTCCCCAGAGTCCGCTGCACTTGGCTGTGTACCTGAAGCAGTTGGAGGTGGTGAGGAGCCTGGTGGAGCGTGGGGCCAGTCTGCAGCTCCAGGACCGAGACGGGAACACGGCCCTGCACCTGGCCTGTCAGTACGGCTACGCCCAGAGCCTGGACCACATGATCCGAGAGCTCACGCCCAACAAGCTGGCCCCACTGATGCAGATGCACAACTGGAGAGGTACGCACTGTATTTCAGGAGGTAGTACAGTCACGGCTGCACTATTTTGAAAGAAGTATCTCCTTCGGTAATACTTGGTGTTAGGGTTAGCCTGCATTTGGATAGTTAATTTATAAAAGTGCCATTAGAAAAACATTTGGAAGACTTACAATTTTCTCTGTAAGTTTCAACACTTTTTGGGCAAATTCTTTCAGATTGATTGCCAATAACAAAACATGGAGAATAACTTTTAGACTAATTTTCAAAATAGAGATTGTTTTTCTATTTTTTGAAAAGAACCCTTCATATGCACATACTGTTTAAAATCAAGTCACTGCTGGTGTGGATCATGGGACTTCAAGTCATCCGAGCTTAAACATGTGTTTTCTAATGGAGTGGAAGTCCTTTCTCAGAATTCGCTCTTGATCTTTCGGTTATCTTGGTTAGTTACATTTTCTATCGTTGGAGCTGGGGTTAAAATACGGCCAAGTTCTTCACACACACAGAAAGACTTGATTTGAGCGTAAGAAGAACGCTGTGACTACCTGGGCTGAGAGCTGATTTACTGAGTGATTTACTTTTTAGCTTTTTAGTCTGAAAAAACTGATCTGAACTGAAGTTGTTGTGAGGGCAAGAAGCAATACAGATTTTACATCCATACTCCATATTTTGTAGTTTGAACCCCAACTGTAATTGTTCAAATGAAGGCAGGTTATTTTGAGGCCTTTGTTTATGTATTTATTAGTGCTGTCAAACGATTACAAATTTTTTATCGCATGAATGTCAATCAAATCGCTTCACAGTCCACATCACACAAGGCACAAACAGTAAAACAATGATGAGAGACTTGGCAGGGTTCGGATGCAACCAGTTGAAAAAGCGTCATCCTAGGAGCCGTCTGCACCAGGAGCAGAGAGCCGCCTGTAGCCACAGGGGACGACACAGGATCTAGAGGAGACCCGAAACCGAGGCCCCAGGCCCCCACCAGGTCCAAGAGTCCGACCCCCACAGCCACACCGACCACTGCTCCCAGTGCAGAGGGCTCCTCCAGAGGAAACACTGGGTACACTAAAAACAATACAATAACAATACAATATGTAAAACACAAAAATGTGAAACTAAAATGAAACTAAAATGAACTAACACACAATACATGAATAAAAGCAATAGCAATACAATAAATAATAGAGGATAAATAGAATATAAAAATGAAATAGTAAAAACTAATCAAAAGCTAATCTAAAAAGGTGCGTCTTGAGCCTGCTTTTAAAAATATGAACGTTCTCTGCGGCCCTGAGCTCCTCCGGCAGACTGTTCCAGAGACGGGGGCCGTAGTGCTGGAAAGATGCCTCACCGTGAGTGTGTGTCCTGACTTTGGGGATGGTTAGAAGTCTGCTGCCGGAGGAGCGCAGGGGCCGGGAAGGTTCATAGGATAAAAGCAAATCTGAAAGATAAGAAGGCCCAAGACCATTAAGACATTTAAAAACCATTAAAAGAACCTTAAAATCGATCCTGAAACACACGGGGAGCCAATGCAGCGATTTTAAAACCGGTGTAATGTGGTCCCGCCCCCTGGTCTTAGTCAGGACACGTGCGGCCGAGTTTTGGAGTAATTGTAAACCTGAAATGTTCTTTTTGGGAAGACCAGAGAGCAGGGCATTACAGTAGTCAATGCGACTGGTTATAAAAGCATGCATCAGCGTCTCCGTGTTGCCCCGAGAGAGAATGGGGCGGACTCTGGCAATGTTCTTTAGATGATAAAAACCTATTTTTGTGATGTTCTTGATGTGAGGAATAAAAGTCAGCTCAGAGTCAAAGATTACGCCCAGGTTTCTCACTTGTGATGATGGATTAAAAGAGTGTGATTGGAGTTTTGATAAAAGTTTCTCTCTCTGGGCCTCAGGACCGATGACTAAAACCTCAGTTTTGTCCTGGTTGAGCTGGAGAAAGTTTTCTGCCATCCAGGATTTCAGGTCTAAAATGCAGTTAAAAAGAGCATCCATTGGCCTGGTGTCATCAGGAGACATGGAGATGTACAGCTGAGTATCATCTGCATAACTGTGGAAGTTAATTCCATGTCTCCTGACGACACCGCCAAGAGGGAGCATGTACAGGTTAAAAAGGACTGGACCTAAAATGGAACCCTGGGGCACACCACATGTGATTTTATGGACCTGAGAGGAGCAGGTATCCAAACTTACCATGAAGGATCTGTCTGTTAAATAAGAAGTGAACCATTTGTGGACAGCACCAGAGAGGCCGAGGTGTTTCAGGCGGGATAAAAGAATGGTGTGGTCTACTGTATCAAAGGCAGCGCTTAGTCTAAAATCTTAGTCTAAAATCATTTAAAATCTTTAAAAGAGCAGTCTCTGTGCTGTGGTTCACCCTAAAACCTGATTGAAATTTCTCTAAAATTTTCCCCAAAATTTGTTGCTGATCTAAGAAGGCATTGAGCTGGGTAAAAACAAGTTTTTCTAAAATTTTGCTTAAAAATGGCAGGTTGGATACCGGTTTGTAGTTGTTAAAATCATTAAAATCTAAATTGCTCTTCTTCAGAAGGGGTCTCACCACAGCCGCTTTGAAGGCTGCAGGAAAGACCCCAGTCTGCAGAGAGCAATTCATCAGGTTTAAAAGCTCCTCTCTAAAAGATTCATAAAATGACTTGTGCGGGGGACGGGATTGGACTGAGTGGGTGATGTTTGAAATCAGGTACCGGGTGCCGAGTTTATTGATATGGAGTCCATCGGGTGTGAAGAAGGGGTGGCGGTTCCAGAACAGATTAAAATTGTCAATAAAACCAAAGTTGTGCTGTTGTGATTAGTTTTGAAGCCAAGTGTTGAGTGATAATATCCTGCTAAAACGTTCCACGCCCCGGTTCAAAGTGGGCAGAGGGCCAGAGATAAAAACACTTTTGCCGGATTTCAATAAAAGGTTAAAAAGGTCCTTAAAATGGAGTTTGGTGGTTTCAGTTTGGCGAAGTGAAGTGTCATTTGTACCAACATGTATTATGATCCGGGTTATTGTGGGGGGTGCTGTCTGTAGAAGTGCGGGTAGTTTCGTGAGGATGGTGGGGACAGTGGCTCCGGAAAAGCAGTGCGTGATGGCATTGAAGAACTTACAGTGTTTGATGATAGAGTCCCCCACCAGGAGTGTAGTTGGTGCAAACAGAGGCCGTGGAGGGGGGGGTGTGACTGGAGTAGGGCCCGGGGGAGAGCAGGGGACAGGAGAGCGTTGGGAGGTGCCCGGAGCAGAGCTGCTGCGAGCCCCGTGAGCCGCAGTGGAGCAGGAGGATGGAGCCGGAGACCGAGCCGGCGCCCCTGCAGCGGGGTTGGTGGTGGTGGTAGTGCGGGCGGTTGTGGGAGGGCCATGGACCGGGCGGAGAGATCCTCCAGCAGGCGAGACAGCCTCCGCGGGGGAGCTCCACGCCGAAATGTAGCGCAAAGACTCCCCCGCGGGCGAGGCAGCAACTACGGGAGGACTCTGCACCGTGCCAGAGCGCAGAGGCCCCCCCGCGGCCACCTCAGCGTAGGACCTGCTTCGTGTCCCGTCTCTGGGGATTCCCCCCGCGTCAGAGCACACGGACCCTCCCACAGCAGGGACAGCGCTCCCGGGGGTATCCGGTGCCGCGTCGGGGCACAGAGATCCCCCCGGGGCTTCCCGCAGTTGGTCCTGCGTGACACCCGGAGAGCCCCGCGCTGTTTTAGAGCGTGGGAAGCTCCCCGAGCGTCTGCGCACAGCCTCCTCCACCAACCTGCGGCGAGAGGACACCGTGGATGTCGTGTGGCCTCCAGGCCTCTGCTCCGCGCCGCTCCGGGTATGGGCAGCAGGCTCCGGGACCGTAGAGGAGGGAAGAGCACCGGGAGGGACAGGAGCAACCGCAACCGGGAAGCGTGAGGTAAGCACCGGGGTAGAGCATGATGAGGGGTGAGGACAGGCGATTGGATCCCAGAGTGCAGTGTCGTGGAGCTGTGAGTGTCTAAGTACGGAGAGGGATATTTGCTGTGACTGTTTGAATGATATGTCCATGAAATGTTCCAGAAGTTTCTCTTTATGTATGAGTTCAGTGGATAGTTCTGTGACAGTGCGCTGAAGTTCCTCGGGGGTCATGGTGTTTACTGGTTTTGATGGGAGGATTGAAGCAAGTTGTGATTTGTATATTTGTTTGTATGAGTTCGCGGGGGGAGCATCGGTGTCCATGGTGATGTGTAGTGGTTACCGGTAAAAGGCTGATAGACAGTCCTGTTAAAAGTGACAGTAATCCTTTTTGATACAGTCTGTTAAAATCCGCGTAATCCGTCGAGCAGGGCGAATAAAAACAGTGATAGAAACTTAGTTTTAAAAATAACTCATAAAAATGTGCAACTCAAAAAAGGCTCCAAACAAATGCGTCCGCTTTTGTCCGCTACTGCTACTGGTCATTGTCTGAGTAGGAGAGGTGAGAAAAGTGGTTAGAGGCCCAGTATACGTCTAAAAATAGTGTTAAATACCCAGTTTATTGAAGGAAATGGCAAAGTCTGGGATGGTGTCTAACTCTGACAGAAGACATGTTTTATTGTCGATGGTAGAGACGGCACGAACAAAATGTGACAGGATGCAAGTGATATTATACAGCATGAAGGAATGGAGACCGTCCAATCAGCTATCACTACGGTGCCAGTAGCTTCAACCTTGAGATACAAAACATGCAGTGGAAAAGTACTGCCTTGTGCATATGTTAGAATGATGAGTGAGAACTTTGACCACAGTTGCTTCAAAGTGTCACGAAATACCTCAAATATGTCTAAAACAGTGTTAAATGCCCAGTATATGTCTGAAACAATGTTAGAGGCCATTGTGGAAATAATTATATTGCTGGTGAGAGGACTGTCTTTCTTCACTCTTTCTCTTCGCTCTCTTGTGTGATTGTAAAGTTTATTTTCTTTTGCCTTGTGTAGAAATTGTGCCCTGTGATAGTGACCCTGTAATCCTCTCAGGTTTGGCTTGTCTGCACTTAGCCGCTCTATACGGACAGCATGAAGTCTTGAAGCTGCTGAGGAGAAAAGGCGTGGAGCTGAACGTTCAGGTGTGTGGGTTTGTTTTATAGAATTATTTGTTTGTTTTTTGTTTTCAAGAAATAGAAGCTGAAGTTATGAGATTTGTCCTAAATTCAATCAAACGAGAGGGAACAGATTTAAGATTATTGTTACTTCTTTTTCAATTGCAGCTATCTTTTATATGCGTCCCCAGATAACAGGTCACATGCACACATTCGTCACATTCTCTGATAAAGCATTAGCATCTAAATAGTGACATCCAACTGTGAAAATGACACTTTTTGAGAGCACTGTTTAAAGATCTTTTGCTTGTCCCACTTCACTTCCCACTTTAACCCACAAGCACAACCCTATACTCAAAAATAAAAAAAAATCATCTTGAGCTTAAACTTGTATAGTCTACTGCAAGAAATATATACTGGCTGTTTAAAGGAAATATATTCTGCAAATCAACTTTTACATATCTTTAAACGTGTTACAACATTGTCCGTAATCAGTCGCAGACCTTATTGTTTTTTGATCCATCCACGATAATATCAGGAACTTCTGGCACAACCATGTAGCTCTGCCCCTTCTGTCTAAAAGCTCCTGTCTCAGTCCGGTAGTTGTATGACTTCATTGTACCACTATGACATCATGAAATCAGACAAAAGCGTTGTCCATAAACTAGTTTTGGCAAAACAAAATTCAAATTCAACTCCTCCCTCTGGTGGCAGCATAAGGAGTTACAGGCAGAAAGCTTTTTTTTTTTTAACCCTCCATCCTTTCATCGTCCTCCACCAAGTATAAAATATAGAATATAATATTTCATATTCTCAAACGAGTAAATAGTGTCATCATCATTTTTAAAGGCCAAAGATAATGCCACATATTTCTTCTTTAAGTCGACCTCAGCTTTGTGAATAGAGGCTTCGTTCCAAGTTCTTTGGAGCAGTGACGTGTTGTTCCCAGTGCGTTCAGAGCTGTTCGGCCAGTGCACCTGTGCCGTCTGACAGTGATACAGCCACTTTAGGGAGACAGAATTAGACTCAGACACATTAGATTAGATCCAGATACTTAGAACTTTCTAATAGCAGAGAAAACAGTCCCCAAAGTCCCCAGACATCCCCCTGCAGCCGCCGGACCGCAATGTCACACTCCCCACTGTTTTTTAAACTTTGGTATTATTTGAAGGTTTTATATTTTGCTCTTGTGTGTCTCGGTAAAGAAGGGATTTACCAAAGTCCTAAAGTGAAAGTGTAGTTTGCAAATCACTCTGAGTTTCCTATTACAGATTTTTCATAGATATTTATTTTGGAGAACCCCTAGACTTACATTTGAGATATGCAACTTTAGTAATGGGAGGAACTGGAAAGAGTTAGTCGCCTACTTCTGTAATATCCCCTAATCGTTTTGGTGACATATTTAAA